AGAGAGCAAGAAGGGGCTCATAGGAAAATAAATCTGAAAGATGAAACTCAGATGCAGAGATGGGTACAGGGATGAGCAGGGATGAGGATGAGGGACAGTGAGAGCAGAAAGTTGGGGCATAGAGTTAGAGAGGAGGGGGAAAAAAACCCATTTGGAGTAGAGCAGAGCAGTAAGTGCAGGTCATCTCTGATGAACCACAGAAAAATGTAATCCCAAATCGCTTTTAGTCTCTTTTTTCCTTTAGGAGAGCGCAGCAGAGGCGGCTCCAGGGACGTCCTCATGGCCTGAAGCTCCTGCAGCAAATTTGGATGGCATGAAGGCTCTGTCAAGGCTCACCTGGGTGAAAAGAAGCAACGCTGAGCTTCAGGAGTGCGGTCTGGAGCAGATCCACTCTCGGTGATCTTATATGGAGCTTATATAGGAGACAGCCCTGCAGCGGAGCGACCCGAGCCATCGCTCACCCAATGACATTGCCGTGCCCCTGTCTTCATTTGTCTCTTTCTCATTAACTTCTACACCGATGCTTTTCTCCTGGGTTAACGCGTGATCCTGCCTAAGCTGGCCCCACCTGCGGACACATTTCGGAGGAATTTAGCAGAAAAGGCTATTTTTACTGCTGAAGGATTTAATTGAAGGTGATGCCCCAGCAACGCCCGGGGACTCTTGTGTTTGGCAAAGGTGTTTTGTGAGACGAAGATCCCCAGTGACTGACGTGCAGGGGAGGAGACCGCCCGGGAATGCTTGCACAGTCAATAAAGAGCAAAGGAAACAAAGGCAGAAAAATGAGGATATTGTGATGCCGAGATTAATGTGATTCCTTCCAGAAACTCCCTCTTCTGGAGGTAGACATCGAGCAAAGAAACCTTTTCAAACAGTGCCACCAAGTGGCCCTTGGAGCGGGACAAGGGGGGTGACACGATGTGTCCCAAAGCCAGCGAGCAGCTGGGGGCTGTGGGCATTTGGGCTGTGATCACCCATTGACCAGAAGGGGAAACTGAGGCACACGACAAGGGGGGGACTTGAACTTCTTGTGCTGTGTCTGGCACCAGTTCCTGCTGCAACCCCGTGTCCTGTGGATGAGGTCGTGATACTGGGGCCCAGTGGGTTAACTGGGAGCTACAAAGACCTAAACCTATTACTGGTTTCTCAGGAAAACCAATTTTAGATCTCCCTATGCCCCCTTATCACCCCTCAGCTGCTCCAAATGATATGAAAGTCATTTCTGCACACTTTGAGTAAGACTTTTAGCCCTCCTCACTTCAGCTGGCTACTTTTAAGGGCCTTTTTTTTGGCCAGTACATGGTTAATAAGAAAGACTGGAATAAATGATACCACACATCCACATAGTTCTTAATGACACAAAAAATAAAACACAGCCAATTTTTCTCACCAGGAAAAGGACTTTTAGGAAAACGCTCTGGCTTGCTCCATGCCTGGCAGAAGGGGGGTGCATGGGTTCCCCTTGGTTTATGTGAAATCCCAGCAGATCTCCAGGGAATGAATACAGGGGATAAATAACAGGGGGCTGCAGGGTTAGGAGGGCTGCCCTTGGTTGTCAGAGTTGAGGGTGACAACTTTTCTGCCACGTCTGCATGGAGACACAGCACTTTCCTTTAACACGGGGCGTGTTTGCTGCTAATCCGCTCGTTACACTGCGGTGAGGGTGGGGGGCAATTACTGGGGGCACCTTGGAGAGGCTTTAGGGTGTTCTCGCTGAAATTATTTCTGGTCAAACCACCTGGACCCTGAGCAGGGCGGTTTCTCCTCTTGTAGATAATACTGGGTTGATGTATGGCATTTCATATACGCTTTATGAGGCATAAAAGGTGAGAGGGTCAAATGATATGTGAAGAAGTTAACTTTAACTTAACTTCAAGTTAACTTAAAGTTAAGTAAGTTAAAGTTAAGTTAAAGTTAAGTTTAAGTAAGTTAAGTTAAAGTTAAGTAGTGTAACAGAGCTTGCAATCAATTCTGTTGAATGCAGGGAGTGGAGTGCAAGTGTTTTGGAGATGGTGCTAATGAAATCCCATCAAACTCCAGTGATTCTGCATTGGGAAATGGGAGGTTTTGTTCCAGCTTCCACCTGGTTTGTAATGATGCTGGGGGCTGTGAGCAGCGTTGAGATGGGGCTGGGCAGTGCTGATCTCTTTAAAGGTCTGGGAAGAAGCTTTCTAGGAGCTCCTCTGCACTAAAAATACTCCAGTGGTTCTGCATTGGGAAATGGGAGGGGAGGTTTTGTTCCAGCTCCTACCTGGTTTGTAATGATGCTGGGGGCTGTGAGCAGCGTTGAGATGGGGCTGGGCAGTGCTGATCTCTTTAAAGGTCTGGGAAGAAGCTTTCTAGGAGCTCCTCTGCACTAAAAATGCAGTGTTTGTGCTGCTCTTCACCAGGAAAGTGGCTCTTCCAGCAAAGCCAAAGTGCTGAATGCAATTATTCATGATGCTTTTGGCTGAGATAAGGCTTGAGCCCCAATTTCTTCATTCTGAGCCAGTCTCAAAAGGCCCTCGTGGCCTCCCAGGCTGTGCCCTGTGTAGTTAGAGATTCCTGGGCACCCCAAGACCTTCAACCCGTGATATAAAGGTGCCATTTGCACCACAGCTCAAATTTTGGGGCAGGAGGGGCAGTATTTCCCTTTAGCAGGAGCAGTTGCTCCTTCTACCTGCACGTGTAAGAAGAATAAATGCTTTGGGAGTTCACATCGCCCATTAACCGGTGCTGGCTCTGCAAGGTGGATCTACCATAGAGGTAAGGTGCGAGGTATGCGGAGAAGGAAACGACTCTTAAGTGTTTTGTTTGCTTGGCAAAGTTGCTCCAGTCACATTCATGAGTTTCTGGAGGTGTGTTTGCTGAAGGAGCTCTGACTTTTGATAGACGACGTATTGGGGCACTGGGCAAAGCAGCTTCTCTGGATGGGCAGAGTGTATTCAAGCTCAGGCTCCTGTGAAATGCTCTCTGGTTGCTCCCTTTAAGCAGTTAGATCCTCAAGTTTCAGTCACAATTGTCTGGTTTGCCTTTTTTTCTGGTTTTTGGGCAAAAAGTTGTCCTAAACGTGGGCAGCTGTGGGTCCCTGGGCTGTGGGCTGCTCATCTGGGGTGGGTTTGGGGTGCTGATGTGCTCCAGGGTTGGGTGATGCTGGAGGTGACACCTGGCCCATGGCAGTGCTCTGATTTTGGCCTGGTTTTTTTTTTGGAGCAAAATTTGTGTCAGATGTGCAGAAAAACAGAAGTGGAAAATCTGAAGTGTGGATGGTTGCACAAGAGCTTTAAAATAACTTAAATTAACTTAAAATAACTCTTATTGCAGCCATGGAGATTGCTGAAGATCCACAACTTAGCTCATGCCTAAACTTTTTCTGCTGTATTTTAATGTGTAAACCTTAAATTTCAGGTAAACCAACCTCACCTAAAATACTTTGAAAATATGACAGGAAAAAGTGGTGCCCAGGGTTATTTTCTTCTCGTCTGCTTGAATCTCCCCACGCAGATCCATGGGGAGCGTGTGTCGGGCAGCGACGGCAGGGAGTGGTGTCGAGCTGGGACCGGGGCCGTTTGGGACCAGGTTCAAGGAGCTGGGAGTGAAGTCGTTTGTTTCTCAGCACAAATAAAGCAGGAAATCACAGCTTATTCGGATTGTTTCTGCTCAGCGGGGAGGAGCAGAAGCGGAGGTCGGCGCTGGTGAAGAAGGGAAGGCGCCGCGCTAAGGGTTTAACGTGCAAAAGCGTTTCAATACAGGTTTTTGGAGAGCTGGAAGGTGCTCGGAGGGATGGGGCTGGATTAGGGGGGTTAAAAAGCGAGTGGTTGGTGCCTGCACTCCATGGAGCTGTGGGACTTGGGGTTTTATCCGTGGTTTTGCCTCCTTTGCCCGTTGTCTCCTCCCTCCTCCCCTCTCAGAGCATCTTACGCCGAGGTTCAGCTTTGCCTCCGTTTTCTCACCTCATTCCACACACGCAGCCCAATTCTTAAACTTTTCCAGGGCTGCAACCCATTATAGGAGAGCTTTATCATGGCATCTATGTCATTATCAGGAATTAAGCTAATTGGAATAAAATGCTTTCTATTCCTATGCTGCCTGGGCATCTCAGCAAGTTATTTCTGTTGCAACCTTCTTTCTTGCTAATTCGCTGTGACATTAAGAAGTGTAATACATCAGCTTTTCTCTAATACGTGCTTCCACTTTTTTACATGTTAATGAGCATATTTAACATATTTCTTCAGAGATAATTGGATTCGAAGACTCCCTGTGGTAATGCACTGAAAGCCAGCTAGCAGTGCCTTTAATATCGAGAAGACTCTTTCTGCATCTGAATAATCCCACAATTAAAATTAGGAATTGATCTCTTTGCGAAAAGAAGGCTTTTGAGGATACTTTTCTTGTTCTGAGACTGTTTTAATACATGTGTTAACTATACTTAGGGAGAAGTTAATTGAACCCTTTCTTTGCATTTGTGCCCCAGAAGTCGGAGGGGTGCAGGTATCTCAGATTATCTTGTTCCTCTTGCCCATTGATCCTCAGGGCTTTTCTGTGCTTCATTTGCTCATAACTTACCCAGCTGGTGGTTTTAATTCAGAAAATTGAAACTGCTGTAGAGTGAATTGTTTTTTTCTGAAGGTATAGAGGAACTCACAAGTTTACTTAAACAGCTCTAGGTGTGGAAAAGGAAAGGCAATGATGCTACGTAGCTAGCTGGGGCATAGAAAGGGCTCATGAAATTCTGCATCTCATTTGAAGCGAAGACTAAGAATAAATAGGGCAGGGAGGAAGGTGAGATGAGGTTATCCCGTGTTTACTGCTATGAAGAATGATTTCACCTCCCTCTGAT